GGTATAAATAGGGAGGTGTTCATGGTCCTCTGTGATGCCTCCTTGACCATAATCAGATTTCCTACCACTTACATTCATGTCCTCAAACATTCTAGGGGTCACCTGGAGAGGTTTTCTGTGAAAGGGCCATATATGCAAAGTGGCCCCCAAATGCCGAAGGAGCCCAGAAACCAAGGAATGAGGCAGATCGATCCAATTTATCAGTATAGGATGATTTATTAGGGGAACTTACAGAAATGTGGTCTTGGATGGCTGCAAGATAGGTAGATCTCCACTCCACAACACCTCCAGACCCAAGGCTTGTATCTTGGGGAAAAAGTATACGTGCTCTGGAAGGAATGTGTACGTGGCTGAGACAGTGCTGCTGGCATCACAGCCTATAATTTCTGTAACAGCATTAAGGGTTATTTTGGAATAAATGTGAAACTTATAGTGAATAGGTGTTCCTACAAAAAGAATAATACATCAACTAGACATTTGGGAGGCATTCCCAGATTCAGGATTAGTCAGGCTGCTTAGCATTTAAAAATAAAATCATGAGGCCAGGCACCATGGTTCACGCATGTAATCCTGGCACTCTGGGAGGCTGAGGTGGGAGGACTGCTTGAGTTGAGGAGTTTGAGACCAGCCTGAGCACGAGTGAGACCCCGTCTCTACTAAAAATAGGAAAAATTACCCAGGCACGGTGGTGTGCGCCTGTAGTCCCAGCTACTCGGGAGGCCAAGGCAGGAGGATCACTTGAGCCTGGGAGTTTGAGGCTGCTGTGAGCCAGGCTGATGCCATGGCACTCTAGCACTCTGGCCCTCTAGCCCAGGCAACAGAGCAAGACGCTGTCTCTAAATGAATAAATAAATAAATAAATAATTAAAAAAACTAAAGTCACTCTTGTACCCACAAGATGCCTAGTTCTTCCCTCCCTCAATGTCTTTTCTTATTCCAGGCGTCGATTCCATTGCCATATGTACACATTCTACCTTTCCTGGTTGCACTTACTGTGCTTTGCACCATCTTTGAAAAAGGATTGGATTTCCTCTAGAGATGGGTCCTTTTCTCTTAAGCATTACGTGTATACTTTGGATGGATGATGGAGTAGGTTATTGTGTGAGCTCCATGAATTCAGCGGATTTAGTGTGATGGGGAATTTCAGGCATCACTTCAGATTATCATATGGTGGATTGTGTCAAATGTTGCATATTCATGAGAAGAGAGCTAAGTTCTACCTCACCTGGGATGTGACTCATCTCATGATGTACTGATCGAGAGGTCGAGTAGGAGGAAATCTGGAAGCAGTGTGGGAGAAAGAAATTGACAGCACCCTCCTCCAGGTTGCTAAAATCCAAGGTAATATTGGGGGTGGGGGGAGTCTCTCAGCACACATGAATCACATGGAAACACCGGTGAGTTTGACCATTTATTGATGCCACACAAAGGCAGGCTATGATTACACTCTGGGTTTAAGTACTGAGATACCCACCAAGGTACCCTTAAGGGGGCTGAGGACGGGGGCCTGGCAAAGCAGCACAGAGATGCAGGGAGTGCGATGGGTTGGGCTGTGTGTGGCATAGAACCACTTTGGAGGACAATGATAGGTAGAATTGTGCTTCCCCCACCATGTTTTTTTAATGGTATAACCTAATAATACTTGAGTTGGCAATACAAACAACAGGAGTAACATCAAATATGTTGTCTAGGTTGTAGCACCAGGCAGTTCATGTTATGTGATCTCTACCCTGAAAGTGAATCATTGTGGCCTGAGCACCAGAACCCCATCCCAGAGCTTCAACTTAAAGTCAAGAAGGAGAAGAGCTGAGACCTGCACTCTCTGGGGTAGCAATGTGTGGCTTTTAGAGTTTGGAGGATTTTAGTCAATTGAATGGGAAGTTATGGTCTGAAACAATATAATCCCTCAAATTGTGTTTCAGATACTTGGTGAAGGTTATCAGAAACATTCACTGACTATCTGAAAGCATCACACTGAGAGGCTTGTGGGGACTTGGCTGTCTCAGGAGACTGGACGGAGGTGTGCTCTTGTTTAAGAAAACTCGTCACAAAACAAAGCATTCCTACAAAAGGAGGAAATTCTTGAACCATGAAACAACTCCCTGATTTAAGAAAGTATTCACTATTAAGTTTCTTGGGATAGTGTTCTCTTATGGTGTGTTTAGTTATGTTTTTATGTTCAAGAATTACATTAACCTGTAACTTTTCAGAGAACAGCTACCTCTACTACTGTGAAAGGCAGTGTAAACCAAACTGGGTTTTAGAACATTAATGTGTTTAAGCACAGTGTAATGTATTTAAGCACCAGATGCTGTGGTGGTCTTCTCTGGTTCCTGGTAGACCTGTATCCAGTGTCCCTGGATGCGCTTCTCACTTGCACATTGCACGTGGGAAGAAAGGAGGACCTGGATAAAGTTAAACAACAATTCTGCTTCATGTCAGCCCCCAGGCATCAGAGAGATGAAGACACCATCCAGTTTCTTGCCTTCAAAGTCTTCCTGTTGATCTGAGGCCTCTTTTGTGTTGCCAGTACGGGGACCTTTCAAAATACTGATGACCCATAGCCAAGTGATTGCCAAGGCAACAGGCAAGGTGACAGAGGGCTCCTCTAGCAAGCACTATCTTTATCCTGGACTCCAGAATGACGAACACCATGCAGCTGTCTTACAACACAGCCTCAATACAGGAGCCAAATGTCCATGATGCATAATTAGGGGCCAATTCTCTGCCTTTGAGAAACTGGAAAAGACCTAGAATGGAGCACATGGCCAAACCTTCCACATGTCTACCATCTACTCCACCACGTGGGTCATAAATAAGGTGGTTCATTTTGTTTATTGGGAAACTTGGCCTAGTTTAGTTTGTTGAGGTCAGTAGGAATCCGGGTTTGTTCCTGAGTTTTGTAAGCCTGGTCAGACCTAGGTCTCTGATGACGTGTATTTGACCCTATGCTAGTACAGTACCAGATTAAGTTAAATCAATCCAGCTTACTAAATTAATCCCTCTGAAAGCCTACACCACACTTAAGGATAGTCTCTGCAAATTGCCTCATTAAAACAAATCTAATTCTCCTCCACTCATGTCACCAACAATTTAAATGTCTTCTACTCTCTAAAACTGTTATTTCACCAGAGATTATCATCAGCCAGCAGTGTTTATATTTAAAGGCAGAGAATACAAGAATGTAATTATTATGTAGAAATGAATTCCCTGACTTTAGGTAAACATTTGTACCTTCCTCCTGTTTCTGGTCTATCTTGAATTTCATCTCAATCCCAGTGTTTTATTTTCCACAGGAATTTATCAGAGCCATACACATTAATGGCTTGAAAAAAATAAAAGGCACATAATATAAAATTTTAAATTCAAGGTACCCAAGCAATAGAACTGGCATTGGCCAGCAACACCATTATACATTACAGAAGAGGTGTATACATACATAGATGAGTTTCACACACACTTACCCATCTGTATGCCTATCTACATGTTTATATTAGTTCTGCCACCATCTAGATATTAGCACCATTTTTCAATAGCACCGTCTGCAGAATGGATAGGTCATTAAAGGAGATATGGGACATTGTGCTTCATGAGGAATATTAAATGTGTCTGTGCCTGAGTCTGGAAATACGCTGCGCATTATATGAAGGCCACGTCCCTGCCTTCCTCCCTGTCAGAATTGGTTCTGAGGTCTTCCTCCCCTTGAGGCTGAGACCCCTCCACCCTCCCACCCTCTTTGGGCTTAGTTCATATAAGCACCTCCCCTTAGAAATCAGTTCTCCTGGAAATTTACTCTGAATTTGAGACCACAGCCTACTCTGACTTCCCATGGGTGGTAGGAACATCAGAATGAGCATTCTAACTTCCATTTCAGTGTTTTGGACTCCCCGACTTGCCTGTTTCCCCCAAGGTAAAAGACCTTTAAAACTACGCATTGAGTACGATAAGGAGTAGATCATCTTTACCTTATTAGTTTGTGCTAAGTTCTTGTACTTAGTGCAATTATCTGGTTCTTTGAGATATTTTAATCTGTAGCTCCATTTTCCGAGGTGAGGGCAGGTGGCAGCCATGGACCTGGGCGTACATCTTTGGGTATAAACCCCCTGCAGCAGGACGGTGGGGGGACCTGACTCGTGCCGCAGGCGGGGGCTGCGCAGGGAGGGCCAGGCAGACGGGGGACCCACTGGCTCTTCTGCAAAGGAACAGGTATTTGCCAGGGAAGTGGGAAGAACAAAGGCCCACATTTCCTTTCTTATACTAGCAAGAAGTCGATTTCTGTTCCTTCGCTTTTTAAGAGTTTTCACAGAAATTATCCTCAAGTGAGAAATATTTTCTGTGTAACTAACCTAAATCCCTTAGGCTGCTTTTTCTGTGCCCATTTCTTCCTAGTAGTCTAGTGTCTCACGGTGGGCAGGGACTCTAGAAAGGCCAGGTGCGGAGTCCTGCAGTGATGGAGGAAGAGACTGAGGGGTGGAGTTAAGACGTTCTCCTCCGGCCCCAGTTGAACACTGGGTGGAGAAAGCGCTCCTCTGCCTGCGTGAATTAAAGGCATGTCTCTAAAAACTCCTCCGTATCATTTTAAACAGCAGGCAGGGAGAAAAAAATATTCATCAAGGTAAATGAACAAAATTACTTGTTCCCTGGGTGAGTGTGGCTGTTTCTTGATGCTATCGAGGTAGTCTGGGAAAAGTCTGGTCTCTTTGATTTTATCTTTAAGGGGGAAAAAAAGACACGATTTCACAGACCTGCCTAGCCTGGCACTGATCCCAGGTGACGCCTGATTCTTCTGGATGGTTACCTTCCTATAAGGAGCAGCAAGTATGATAGCCCAGGCCTCCTGGGAGGGACATTTTGTGGCTAGAGGAAGACAATGAATTTTGTTCTGGTATGATCCAAAGTTGAACCTGAAATATGTAAAGCAAAACCTCAAAGAAGCGGCCCCCAGGGCGAAAGGTCAGCAGCTGCTGCAGTCTATGGTGGAGGGTGGCTTCCTTCTGCACTCAGGGTGCTTTGGGGTTTGGGAGCAACTGTCTCTTTCTTTGCCTTCCGGTGTGGGTGACGTGTGTCTGGGGACATGAGAAGCAGCACTGATCCCTCACAGTGGGCACAGAACATTTCTTCATGGCTTTCAGTGTCTGGCAGAAACTGGCCGACAGCTTGTCCTTGGTGCAAAGTAAATCTGTGGGAGGAGAAAAAAAATAAGAAAAAAATTCAAAGATTATCCTTTGTAGGTGAATGAGCACAGCCTCTGTTAATGTAAGACTTTAAATGTCTACCTAGAAAGGATCCATAACAATTCGTAACAGTGGTTGATATCCACTGAATGTTCATTATGTATCAGACACTGTGTAAAGTGTTGGTGTTAAAATTATCGGTCACAATTCTTTACTCCCGTGTAGTAGCAGCCTGCCTGATGAACATCGGCCGTCAGCATAGGGAGAACCTGGCTCATGCAGCCACCGAGGGAGACGGGAGACACATGGAGCAGATCTAGACCCAACCAACAGCTTGCAGCCAAGGCCAACCAAATCCAAGCTCAACCACCTGAACTTTGGCCTACAGATGCTGAGCAGAAAATACGCGACTGTAGCTTTAAACCCCTGAGTGTAGGGGTGCTCCGCTATGCAGTATTGTCATGGCAATAGTTGAATGCGGTGTTTTGCATGTATCGCTTCATTTAATCTTCACAGCAGTACTGGCAGGTAAATATTTTTTTTCCATTTCACAAATGAGGAAAGTAAGGCCTAGACTCGTTAAGAACTTGTACAAGGTTGTGCAGCTGGTAAGTGGCACAGCCAGATCTGAACACAGGCAGTTTTGACTCTGGAGCTCGTGCTGTTACCCGCAAAGCTGCGCAGAGTGCCAGGCAATCGACCAGTCAGCCCATTCACCCACCAGCACTCTTTTTGCAGTCCTGTTGGTTGCATTTTTTGAATTCTGGAGGCCTGGTTTCATGATCACACAGGCACTGGTCTTGGTCTTCAGTTTTAGTGTCCTCTGAGGGGACACAATGGACAGTCCTCTTCTGAAGGCCACCTCCACAGGCAGCAGTACACTGAAAGATAGGGATACAGAGAGAGTCAGAATTCTTCCCTAGGACCCCCAAGGCAGCAGCAGCAGCAGAGCGCCCCTAACCCCACAGTGGTCAAGTGTGGGAAAGACTCCATTACCAGAAACCTTTCTGAAGGAGTTGTAGAATAAAGGCACTAATAATTTGGAGATGTAAATTTAGGAAGAGTCCTAAATTATAGGATGTGTGGATTTAATTTGGTTTATTTTACTACTGTTAGGTTCTCTGAAGAATGTCTTCCTCTTTCCCACATTTGAAAATGGCCTATTGCCTCTCATCACATGGCTACAACATTGGGATCTAGCCCCATGTTAGTCCCATGGGCCCTGCCACCTGGCCACATAGGATTGGTCCAGGGGAGCGTCCTTGGATCAAGCTGGGCCAATTGGTCACTTCCTTGGGAATTCAGAATTGAGACCTGGCAAGAGATTCCCTCTGAGACTAAAACATGAAAACCTGGGTGTATTCTTGGTCACATGTCCTGCCAAGTTGGAGAAGTAGAGCAAACCAGATGACAGAAAAAGTGAGAGGAATGAAGCACATGCTTAGAGAGGAGTGGGGATGAGAGAGGCATGCTTAGACCTGGGTTTTATCTAAAGCTCCTAGCCAAAACACTCACCTTTACGTCATGAATATACAGAGTGAAATATACTGAGAGAGGTTGACTTGCAGGCAAAATAGAAGAAAATTTCACATCTGGGTCCTGGTGCCTCGGTGGGAACCAGTTTTCATTTGGGGTTGGGGATCAGAGGGAAAGGGGTGGAGCTACTAGGCAAGCTGAGAGTGGGATAAAAAGAGAAGTGGGAGGGGGAGACCGCGGTGGAATGGAGAGAGAATTTGGAAGGGAGGGACATAGGGATAGGGCTGAGAAAGGAGACTGGGCAGGGGCAGAGCAGCAGTGGCCCCTGGGCTGGGCCCCGCTGGACCATGTGTGGTCTCGAGCAATTCTAACAGACAAGCCTCCATTGCAGTGTCATGACTGGCCACCTGGCCGCAGGAGGAAGATTCTCTGGCCTGTGGAATCAGCTTATATAAGACGATTCTTGAAAATGTAAGAAAATGTGTCTGAATTTACCACATATACTCTTTCTTTAATTATTATTTTTTGTGGTAAAAAAAATTCACAATTCTAACCATTTTTAAGTTCAGAGACCTTAAGAACACTGACATTGCTGTGCAACCACCACCACCACCCATCGCTAGAACTTTTTCATCTTCCCAAACTGAAGCTCTGTCCCCACTTAAACAAGAACTCCCTGTCTTCCACTCCCACCCCCAGCGCCTGCCAAGCACCATTCTGTTTTTCATCTCTATGAATTTGACTACTGTATGTACCTTATATCAGTGCAATACACAGTGTTTGTCCATTTCTGACTGGCTTGTTTCAATTAACATAGTGTTTTTGAGTCTTATCCATGTCATAACATGTTATTCCCTTTTTAAGATGGAACAATATTCCATTGTATGTATATACCGTATTTTATCTATTCATACATAGATGGCTGATGGACACTTGGGTTGTTGGCTATTGTGAACCACATAGATTCTTAAGATTTACACTTCATATCATGTTTTATTACTTTTTGCCCCATTTTGCTTATATGATCAAAATCTCCCACGGGGCAGAAACCAGAGTTTTCTTCTTCATGCTTCACAGCCATTAACATGACATTCAATAAATACTCACTGATTAATTGGCTGGAAAAGACTGCTACATGGAAAATTCTTGAAACATCACTAAGCTCAAAAGATTCCATTTGTCATTTGAGATATTATTGGACACCTGGCTCACTAGATAAGACAATATCCACACTGGGACACCACCAATTAAATAAGAATACCGCCACCAAAACCCTGTTTCTCACAGAAACTTCCCATAGAGAGGATAGAAGGAGAAGCATCATATTTTTTTAACATCCACCATTCTATTTTATTTTACTTTATAAAGCCCAGAACATGGTGATCAGCATGGAGCCTCATGTTTGCGTTATGAAGTCAGAGTTTTCAGTGATTAAACCTGAAGGTAATTTTATTCAGTAAATTCACCTCAAATTCTCTGCAGATATGAGTGCGAAACAAAGAGTGAAAAATAACTACTCAACTGATCTTGAGTAAATAAAAGTCTGCAATAGAGGACAGAGGGAAAAACAATGGAAATTAGCCAAGCCAGAATAAGATAAAGAGTACTGGCTAGGGTTTAGGAGATTGGCTTTCTTGCTCACTGTATGTTGGCCTGGGTCATTCACTCCACCTCTCTCTCTCTTCCTCTGTAAAATAAGATTGTCACTTAAAGATCAAATGACTTCCTTTCCTGATTTCTGCTTCTAAGTGTCTGTGTCTAAGCTGGGCTGGTCCTGGGTGCTGAAGTCATGCAGGTCCTCTTGGGCAGGTCAAATTAGGATGCAAGCGCTAATTCCAAGCCAAGCACAAAAATAAGCAGAAGTCACTGTCCATGTATTTATTAGCCAATTCAAATAACTTAAGATTAAGATGCATGAATTTGTGCTGTATTTAATTGGGGGATTAAGCAGGAAGCATGGTTGCTGACTTGAGTTTTGCTAATTGGGCTAATGATGTGAATTTGGGGTTTTAAGGAAGATATATATCACTCTTAGGGCTCAGATCTACTCCTTTGGAGTCAATAAAACCAGGGGTCCTTGTGCAGAACTGAGCACCCCAAATGGGGATGGAACTAAACATGATCAACTCCTAGCGAAGGCTACTGACTCATTCAATTGCTCACTACGCTAGTCTCATTCAGTCCTAGATGCTCTGGCCAACAAGACTTCAAGGGTTCTCTTTAGCTTCAACTGGTTTGTTTAGAAAAGCTGATTCCTAAATTCAATAAATACTTCAGCAAATACTTGCTCTGCAAGAAGCTGTAAAAGGGATATAAGAAGACTGAAGTCTGTTATTGCGACCATTCAACCAACATAGATCAAATGGAGAAATATGAAGAAGAGAAACCATTTGATGTTTTATAGCTAATGCAAACATGTTCACTGAATAATTTTCTTGCACATACTATTAAATATATGGCAGGGCATGTTCTGTCTGCATAGGAAATATCCTTAAGTTAAATCCTTGTAACAACATGTAAATAAGATTTATTTTCTGGTTTTACCAACGTAGAAACAAATCTTTCCCCCAATCCCCAGCTTTTTACCTTTTTATTATAGCATTTGTATCCCTTTCTGTGGAGACTCAAGTCCTTCCAATTTGGAAAGTTTTTCTTGTGTTAATTCTTTAATAATGTCCTCACTTCTACTTTTTCCCATTCTTCCTCTCTGAAATTTTATTATTTTGATGTTGTAC